TGCCCCGGCCACCGGGATCACTTAGCCGAGCATCCTCCACACAAGCACTACCCTCACTGGCCATCGGGATCGCTTAGACGAGCATCCTCCATGTAAGCACTGCCTGCATCGCCTCCCGGCTCCCACAGCGCGCTTTCAGCAGCCGGCACCGCCCTGCAGCATCCCCCCCGAGCCCCCAGCCGGTCCCCCACACCCCGCTACCTTTATCCTGTCGATGTTGGCCTCCATCTTCAGCTGCTCCACCAGCTTGCGGGCTTGCGCTATGCTAGCAGTGTTGTTGCTAGCCATGGGCAGGCCAGGCGTGCTCCCCGGGCAGGCTGTGGGCACAAACACAAGGGGGCTGGACTCTTGGGCTGGGCAGATTGCTGCTCCCAGCCCCAAAATCCCCAAAATGATGGGCTGGGTGTTGCATGTGTGGAGCTGGTAGAGCCCAGCTGTGTGAATGAGGGCGTGAGGATGGGAGATGGGGACCTGGGCATTTCAGCTGGCGTCTAATGGTTTAGTGGTGGGATGGCAGGGTTGGGTTAAAGGTTGGACTCGATGATCTTAAAGGTCTTTTCCAACCAAAGTGATTCTATGATTCTATGATTCTAATCCTGTGTTTATACAAGGGCCGGCAGCCTTTGTGGGTATGCGGGTTGTCACACGCTGCCAGCAGCCCCCTCCCGTGCCCTCCCTGTCGTCCCCAGAGCGGGGGATACCCCATGAGCCATGCTTAGGGGACACCAGGACCTCTAGAGCACAGCCTACAGCAGCAGGACCCCAGCTTAGAGACGCACTTTGGCTTTTGCTGTCACGTGAAAGGCTGCGGTGGCAACGAAGCCCCAAAGGAAACGGGGACCCGGGCCCCCCCCCGCCGCAGCCCCGCGCTGCCCAGAGCTGCCATGCTGGGCTGGTTGCCCTGCCCCGAGCCAGGCACATCATCCAGCCCCACGCCGGTGCCCAGCATGCGTCCCTCTGGTGTCCCTCGGCCTCCCTTGCTTTGTCCCTGCTGCCAACTTGAACATTGAGATGCTAGACAGGATGCTGGAGTTTCCTGTTTCTTGAGATTTCTACGCTCATTAAGTCCACGCCATCGCGATCACGGATGTTTTTCCCTTACTTTATAACAGCCCCGGCAGCGGAGGCCAGAAACCCAGCGTTCAGCTCCTCTGGCAGACGAGGCTTTTCACAAGCACCAAGTATTTTACAGGGGGGGCACGGCCATGCTGTGCTGGCCCCTGCCTGGCCGGGGCTGCCTGCGACCTCGAAAAAGGGGGGGGTTCAGGGTGGTTCCGCAATAGCAGGGCACAGCGAGCCCCCTGCCAGCCCCTCGGGTGATGGGGCAAGGATGGCACAGCCCTAAAATGAGGGGCTCGTGGCGTTTTGAGGGAGGACACCGAAAAGCTGTGGGCAACTTCAGCTCAAGCCTGTCTCAGGGGGATATAAGGGTGTTTGGAAAGAAGCTCGTCCTGGGACCTACAGAAAAAAGCAACCTGGGTCTGAGCAAGGTGCCCAGGCTTGGAGGGGAGCGGAGAGCGAGCCGGGCCAGCCGGGGTTGCAGGATGAGACCCCCTTCCCAGCCCCCCCCCACCCATCAGGGAGCACAAGGAGGAGTTATTTTTTACCAGAAGCAGGTCTCTCCGGTGAGTTGTGCCTCTAGGGGAAGATCTGCTCCTCTTGGCCGTTTGCTACCTTTGAATAAAGAGAAGAGAATAAAAAAAAAATAAAAAAAAATAAAAAAAAAAAAAAGGAGCCAGGTTAGGTTGGGGTGATGCCCGATGATGGA